TTTTCATATTTTTGAAATCAAAACCATTTAAAAACACATTTAAATCTAACCCATTTTAAAAATCATTACATGAAGATAGGTTTCTAAAATCTAAACCATTTCAAAAAATCATTACATGAAATTTGATAAGCTACAGCAGTCCAAGCTACTAACTCACACAGATCAGTCCAAGCTACCAAATCACACAGATCAGTCCAAGGTCAAGCTATCAGAGTCCAAGCCACCAGATCAAACAGATCAGTCCAAATCCAAGCCATCTGGTGAAGACACTCAAGGGCTGAGCACGTGTATAAAGTTGAGACAGTTATCATCCACATGTGGTTACTGTGGTTAGTTAGTTAGGATATTGAGTTAGATAACAACTTAACAGAATGCTAACAACCACATGTGGATGATAACTGTCTCAACTTTCTACACGTGCTCAGCCCTTGAGTGTCTTCACCAGATGGCTTGGATTTGGACTGATCTGTTTGATCTGGTGGCTTGGACTCTGACCCAATAAAACTTAAGAATATAAAACTTTATTGATAGCCCGTGCCTGAAGGCACGCCTAATAAAACTTAAGAATATATTTTAATTTTATTATAGACAAAAACCAAAGTGTAAGCTTCACATCAACACTAAAGTGTAAATCGCCTGCTAAACAAAGCACACAAACCAAAGCTATTGTACACATGTTAATGTTTTATAATCCCAAAAAAAAAAAAATTACTAAACACCAGATAAAGCACACCAGCAAGTGTTTTGCAATCCCACAAAAATTAAAATTAAACACCAAACAATGCGCACCAACCAATACTCTGCAATATAAAATATTGAAATTAAAATGGACACCAACCAATACTCTGTGATTCAAAAAAATTAAAATTAAAATGCACATTAGTTAGTGCTCTACAATCTCACCAAACAATGTACACCTCCTAGTACTACTACTGTCAATCACATTTTAACAGTTCTTTGCAAATTATAAACCCGAAATATAGTGAGAAAAATAGAGGAAAAAAAATGCATTGCTATAATTTTTTTAACCACAAAGCACTCCCATATAAAGACCACTTAAATGGTGAAATTTACTCTCTATAAAAAATAAAAATAAAAATCCCTAAAAAATAGCCAAATTAAAAGGATTCGAAAAGAATAAGTCAGATGGATTAAAGTCATTTTCAAATAAAAAACAACTAATGCTTGGCTATGTCCAAATCACGTCACATAGTAAGCAATGAACTTTCTAACTGCTAAAAAATATGCTAATTCTTGTGGTACCTGCTCCCATGTTCTTCACCTTTTTTCCTCATCTACTTTTACTATCTTCTCTAACGCACTTGATAAAAAATAAGCACCATATTTTCTCTTACCAATTGAATCATATTTTGAAAAAAATGAGTTCACATGTAGGAAGAACAATGGGACAACAAAAGCAATACACTATGATTTTGTTAGCTTTTATTCCACTGGGGATTAAAACAAATGTGATAGAGACGGGGAAGGGAAAAAAACGTTTGCAATTTATAGTTTCTTTGTAAATTAAATGGATATAAACCAAAAACCCAAATAAATTTAAAAGAAAGAAAGATTAAGGAGAGAAGAGGAGGAGAGAGGTGGAGGGAAAAAAAAAAGCACAAAATACCAAAAAATCCAACAAAAGACACAATACGTAATAGACCCCAAAAAAATAAATTTTTTACAATTTTGAGTAATGAAACAGATATAATAAAAAACAAAAAAATCGCTTAGAGCTTATACCTTCGATTATATCGAAAACCCATAAATTGATGACCTACAACAAAAAGACACAACACAACATGAAAATGGCGGAAAGAAACAAACTGAAATTTAGGAAAAAAAGAAGCAACCTATGACAGTTTGTAATAAGGTGCTCATGGCCAAAACAATCAAATCCAAAATTCAAAACTTATTTTATTTAAGAAATTCAAATCAGAACTTGCAAAATGAAATTGAGTAATGACAATTTCCATCTCAGCAAGCAGAAACTAATTCTTCCAATCCAAAATAGATGTATCCACCATGTTCCCATTTTCATCTCCACTTCTCCCTTCATGCTTCTTGTTTTTCTGTAAATCCAAACTCCAAATAATGTGTCCAAGGATTTGGCAACTAAAACTAAGTTAACAATGACAAACTCAATAAAACATTGTGATCCATTGACAAACTCTCTCTCACCTTCTTTCTCTATCTATAATTATCTTTTGATATCAACAAAAGAAAACACATATTTTGAAACTATCATTTCCTAATGTGTACCCTTCAAAATCAATCAAACAGTAAGTCATTGAAAAAGAAAACTCTCCTTTTAAAAAACTCATCTCTTCTATCATTTCATTGCAAAATCAATAAAACATTGTGATCCACTGACAAACTCTCTCTCACCTTCTTTCTCTACCTATAATTACATTTTCATATCAACAAAACATAACACATGAAGCATTTGACCCCCTTGGGGTCACTTAGTATACCCTCATTTCTATTTACATTACATTAACAAAACAATTCACACCTTAATTAAATGTACAAAATAGGTAAAACAGAGAGTAAACCATTAAAGGATTCAAAATAAATGGCACAATATAGTAGATTAAATTAAACAAACCTGAGAGGTTAAATTAGGAAAAGGCAGAGTAGTGTAATACATGCCAAATGGCAGAGTCACACTTCTTAGATTTGTGACGACCATCGATTCTCCTCAAAGTGTAACTGATGATCTCTTGGTTGAGTCGAATTTAAACAACCATAAAAGATACTTGTTATGTCCCAAGTAATACACGACAAACAAACCCAGCCAAAAACAAAAATAGCCGTCAGCCATACAACAGCCGAGTTCGAAAGAGGAGATGAGAGAATACTGAAATTACCTTGTGAGTGCAAGTTCGACCGAATACAACAGCGACAAAAGGAAATTGAAAAACAGAAACAAAATATATATACTTGCAAGTTCCAACATCGACTGGTCAGTTATCACATCAATTTCAATCTACAATATGTTTTTGTAACTTTTAAAACCCTAGGCACAAAAGCTTAATTTAAAAATTCATGGATAGCATTGAAAAATTCTCTCTCTCTCTCTCTCTCTCTCTCTCTCTCTCTTTGAGGGATGAGATTGTATACGTGAAATTGAGGAATTAAGAAGAGTTTACAATTCATGACATAACTAATAAAATTAAAAGAAGGTACAAAATTTGATAGGAACAAAGAGTAAATTAGGCCTTTGGAAACAGTCTGAGAGTAATCAGAAATGTTCTATTTTTATTTTTTAATACCTCTGTCAGTTGGATCGCCTGATTTCTTTTCAGCAGCAAGATATGAATCCTCCGTTACAAACCCAAAAAACTTAATAGGTTGCAAAGAGCGTTATATAATATGATAATCCAATCCACATTTTAGAGAGAGAGAGGGGAGGTTTACTTTCGGGCCGGTATTGTGATTTATGGGTGGAAAACGCCAAACCCACCAATTTTCCACCCATAAATCAAAATGGGATTGGTGGATATTTCTGTAATTTGGTGTGGCTCAAGTGTATGATAACATTAACATTAACATTAAATAATGGGATTACTATCCCAATTGAGGATAGTGATTCCCTAGATCTAGACATTCAATTTAAAAATAAATAAACAAATAAAGAATGCTGATCCGAATCCAAACCCACCAAATTTTTTTAAAAAAAAATGGAACCCAGATTGGTGGCATATAAGCCTACCATACTTTAATATATACTTATAATTAATATAAGAAAAAAAAATAAAAATAAAAATAAAAGAAAAGAAGAAAAAGAAAAAGAAAAAGAAAAGCCTATAAGTAAATAGACGATTACCTGGATACGAAGCTAAATTAGCGTGTCTGGGACGCGCTCTGCTACAGAGTGATTGAGCAGCAAAAAAATAATTAATCCATTCAAAAATCCAAAATCAAACACTGGTACTGGCTTTGCACCCGAAAATACTTTAAACTTAATGTACACTTATTCTAACCAATCCTAATAATTATGAGTTGTTTTGAAAAGTTGGTTAAAAATTGATTTTTTGTATTTTTAGCTAATAATGTTCATCTAGAAAATAATTAATCTACGTGTTCCTGAAGACTTTTTTATAACATAGGTCTGTTGTAAAAAGATTGGTTCGAATTGCAATGTCATTTACATATATGACCCAATACCTTCTTGTGGTTCCATTCCGTTTATTAGATCAAGTATGGCTAATATTAAATGCTTTGAAATAGATGCAAGTCATACAACAATTAAAACCCCACTATACACTTGCCTGGATTCTCCAGTTATATGTTGAACGAAAATCACAAACCCAAACCCAAATAAACTACCAGTTCAAATATAGATCCGGTTATATGTAAACAAATTCTCTTTCTCACCATTTCTCACTCAATTTATAAACAATTGATAAATTGAAAATGAGAAAAGAGTTCACTTTTGCACCATTTCTCACCAAACCACCCCATCCAAATGTAGTGTGAGACAACTCGTGACCCGACATTTTTCTAGGCAGCAGAGTGATTCAACCAGCCACCATATTGGCATGGCCAAAAACAAAACTTAGGAAACTTGAATAGTGAAGGCCATAGCCCTTGACCAACAGTTTCATCTTGACAAAACGCACAAAAACAATCAAATCAAATTTTCTGTCTTTCTTTCCTCATTATTTTATTTTCGTGAAGGTGAAGTTATGGTCCAGTAGGAAGCAAATGATAGCATGACAAAGTAAATGCATGGAAATTACCAGTATATGTCTCCCAAGGGTAAATGAAACTGTATCAAACCCAATTTAAATGGCCCATAAACAATCTAAACTAATCCTAAAAAGATAGATGAAACATGACATTCAAATTAGCCTCTAATGAACATAAATCATCAAAACACCATAATAAATCAACATAATAATAATAATAATAATAATAATAATAATAATAATAATAATAATAATAATAATAATAATAATAATAATAATAATAATAATAATAATAACAATAATAATAATAATAATAATAATAATAATAATAATAATAATAATAATAATAATAATAAATACAGTAAAAAAATTAAATATAATGAAGAAAAATGAGATCCTGGAATAAGAACCAATGCCATAGATACTACCCAATTCAAAGCTCTTAGATCTGGGTATGTTCCCTCCATTGGAAGAATTGCCCTCAATCCTTAGCTTTGAATCAAAATCCTTCTCCATATTAGCTACCGGTGAACAGGATAGAGCAGATTGTTTTTTCTATTTAATATATAACCTAGAAACAAGCTATGTGTTGGATGGCTTGTGACTCAATGTAACGACAATAAAGAAAATCAAGGTCAAATGTAGATTATTTAGCTTTAAACTCCAATTTTTTCTTTGTTTTTTCTTCTTTCTTTTCCAAAATAGTTAGCTAATTTTTTTATGAGGCACATGATCACATTTGAAAATATTTACATAAGTAGTGTTTCAAAACACATAAATTATTATTTCCTAGAAAAAGAGTATGAACTTACGAGAAGAGTAGGGTAACTCAAAGCTCCATTAATACCAATAGCCATTGTAAGAGATGCAATCATGTTGAAACCAATTGCACGCAGCCCTGCGATAGAAACAAAAAGAAAAGGGGAATGTTTACACTTTCCTTTCAAAGTATAAAACCAATGACATTTAGAATTGACACTCCGTTTGGAGGGTGAGAAAGGAAAAGAAATGATTGTGATATCTCATTTATGAGAAAAAAAATATATTTTCACTATCAAGAGAGGGGGATATGAGTGGAATTTTTATCTTTCTTCGGGCAATCTTGTAACCAATCAACTTGTTTCTCACTAAATCTCATCACTCTAGGTAAAAATACGATCAACTTGTTTCTCACTAAATCCCATCACTTTTGGTAAAAAATGAAACAGACTTGTTTTGGTTCATGAATTTTGAGAAGGGATTTGGAAAGAGAGAGGAAAGATGTCTGAAATGTAATTATATTTTTCTCACATTTCACTAATCTTTTCCCTTTTTTATTTCCAAATCTCCAAACACAGCCTTAGTAAACAAATTCTCTTTCTCACCATTTCTCACTCAATTTATAAACAATTGATAAATTGAAAATGAGAAAAGAGTTCACTTTTGCATCATTTCTCACCAAACCACCCCATCCAAACGTAGTGTGAGACAACTCGTGACCCGACATTTTTCTGGGCAGCAGAGTGATTCAACCAGCCACCATATTGGCATGGCCAAAAACAAAACTTGGGAAACTTGAATAGTGAAGGCCATAGCCCTTGACCAACAGTTTCATCTTGACAAAACGCACAAAAACAATCAAATCAAATTTTCTGTCTTTCTTTCCTCATTATTTTATTTTCGTGAAGGTGAAGTTATGGTCCAGTAGGAAGCAAATGATAGCATGACAAAGTAAATGCATGGAAATTACCAGTATATGTCTTCCAAGGGTAAATGATTCCATTGTCGTCCATGTCAAAAAAGGCCACATGTTGCTGAAGAACACTCAACCCATAATTCTTATGGCCTGGTGTTCCATTTGGATGGTCTGTATCCGGAGCAGCCAATGCTCTTGCCAAATCTGAATTCATGAATGCCAAAAAGACACATTAGTAGCATAAAGGTGGAGGCTTTTTGAGACTTCATTAGCACCAAGATAAGTGGGTGAGATGTAAATAAGATATAGTATATTCATTTTACTTTTTACACACATTTTCTCCTTTTGATTTTAAATTCTTACCCAAATACATGATATAAACGAAGCCTAATGACACATATTATACATTTGATTCAAGTGTGTTTGAATTTTTTGAATATTACACATATTACACATGATATAAACGTAGGCTTTTTGAATTTTTTTCTAAAAATTACACATATTACACATGATATAAACGTAGGCTTTTTGAATTTTTTTCTAAAAATAATGTGTTTGATTCATGAATTTATGTAGAAATTTATAAAAAAAATAGGAAAGAGATAGGTTAAATAGGAATAAAATATAGTTAAATTTTACTTATATTTTTCCTTTTCTTTCCAAATAGCTACAACCAAACACAGTCTAAAATTTTAATTCAGTGCAATTACACCCTCACGCTTAACCACTAATTATTTTTGTAGCCACTTTTGAGTTTTGTGATTACAAAGACAACCCAAACTTTATCTTGGACAACCAAACTGCAATTATTGTGAACCTAAAAAAACTTGTCTAAAATCACAAAACAATGAGCTTCCAAACCAAACAATCAGTATAACCGTTTATTCTTTACTCTCAAAAGTGAGAAGAAAATGTTTCAATTAAGTGGCTCTCAAAAGTACAACCCAATAACCCAAATGCTAGTGTAGACGTCCCCGAATGTCCCGGGAGGAAAATCCCCCCCCCCCCCCCCTCGCCCCCCCCCCCGGTTTTGTTCATTGGGCTCACTACAGTTCAGGGCTCAATGTCACGGTTCTGTATCTAATCTCGCAGAGTGCAATGCAAGACCGATGAATCATCAAAAAGTCCAAATCCGGAAAATCATTTTTGAAAATAGATTTTTTTGAAAGAAGTGCCAAACATGGACTGCTTTGCCAAATACAGAGTCGCCACCTAAGTATTTTATTTTTGAAAATTTAGGAAACCCTGACTCGTTGCCTAAGGCCACGTGTCCGTCATCACCAAAGTTGCCTCGGCTCGGGAACTTGGGTACGATTGGGGAAGGTCACTTCGTGAGCACCCCCGCTCGCCCGATCAAAGATCGGCCTCTACTAACCATGATATATATTTTTGAAAACTTTGTGTGTCCTTAATCCGGTTATTAGCCTAGGTTACTATGTGATGCACACAGCATACAAGTATAGACTGGATCGCCTGAATTGGAACAAAACGTTTCATGTTTATTTATTTTGAAAAAGGTTTGATGGTGCTACCCGCAAGTAGGCTAAGACGTGGATTTGCCACCCTCGGGTGGGCTTAGAAAAACATGATTTTGCCACTATTTAGTGGGCTTAAAACACATATTTGATGAATTGTTCCAATTCAAATAACCCAACCTTCACCCACAGGCATTCAGGCAGATATATCACATAAGCAATTAGCCTCATGGTAAGCATGCTATCATGGCAGTCACTCACACGCATGCAAGGATGCTAAAGCATAAAACTTACCGAGTACTCCAAGCCAAAACAGCAGTGGAGAAGTGGAAAATGCATGATCCTAACTATACAGAAATGCCGAATGCAACACATGCAAAA